GCCTACAAAATTCCTGTGTGTGCAGGACAAGGAACATCAGCAGCCGCGGTGGGGATGGCTCCCCATTACCTTGTTCTCCCCGCATGCCGTGCCGTCAACGGCAGCGTCCAGCTTGGAGTGGCACGTGTTCCCCACCGTGCACCACAGCGTGTTGCAGACGCTCTGCGGAAAACACGGTGGGACAGGACATGGTTACTGCACTAGCCAACCCCTCGGCACAAATTTAAATTGAGGGGGAGAGGATGACCCCGTGCCAAGCGTGCAAAGCCCCCCCCACCCCCAGAGAGCCCCTCGGAGCCACAGGAGCCCGCGTCATTTCTGGGGGGACCCTGGCTTACATCCATGTCGTCGCAGAAGGTGGAGTAGGCGCCGTACTGCAGCCGGCACTGGTGGGCCACGTCGTAGAGGACGCCCGGGGGCACCAAGGGGTAGTCCAGCACCTCCCGGGCAGGGGGGTCATCCAGGCACAGTCCCCAGCCCCGGCTGAAAGAGAGAGGTCAGAGCATCACCACCGACCCGGCACACCAGTACAATGCTCCGGCAGCTGCTAACGGAGGAAGCGAACAGCTCATTAACGTCCCACCGAGATGAGAAGCAATTAGCATTTCTAGCCAGTACGACTCTTCAATCGACCCTGGAGCCACTCCAGGGCACAGATGGGTGTGCGTAGGTCCTAGCTTTTTGGGGTGGGTGTCCACTCCCAGAGCAACCCCCTGTGGCCCCTGGGCACGGTGGGTTGTGGGGAAGGCGAAGGGGCAAAGGCAGAAGCGGCTTCTCCGTGCGGCTGCCAGGCCAGGGCCTTGCATGGCCTTTTACCCCAAGATGGTCCTGTCCCCCTAACAGAAAGCCAGAAACGTCATTTTCCTGGGAATAATTCCCTGGATTTTTACTTTGCGACTATGTCATCAGCTCAGTCCCAAGCTGGGACCCCGCTTTCGCCATTCACGGTGAAGGGTTCCACTGAACAAGCATTTCAGCACCGAGAAGCAGATGCAGCCCCCACGTTCGTGCATCACGCTGACCCCAGAGCCGTCCCTGCGGACAACGCAACCCCCATGTCAACGCCCTGCTAACAGAAATAAAGCAGATTGTCAGCAGCTAAACGCGCTCAACCCTCATGTCTGCCTCTACAAACAGTGCTCAGATTGTGCCGGACGGGACGTCTTTAGAACAGAGATACTAAAACTGAGCCGTCGGGGCCGGCTGTGGCAGGCGGCCAGGCTGCCTGGAGCCACGAGGGAGGCTCCCAGCCGCCTCTCTCCGCTCCAAGTGCTTTTGCTACGATCCTTCACAAACACACAAGAAACTGTCACCAGTTCAGCTTTCAGTGTTGATTTAAACAAACTTGTTTCCAGCACGGCAAAGTCTCCGGCGAGGGTTTCTCAGCAGATTAGATTACTTTGGCTCATTGTGACTGGGAACAGGTCTAAATTAACTTGAAACAGGATTCCTCTTTAACCCGCAGCAGCAACGCAGAAACAAGGGCCAGCGGCATGGCAGAGCTGCTTTGGGGTGCCGGCAGTGCCTCGGAGAGAAGCTCAGCAGAGCGGGAACCCCCTCCTCCCTTCCCACCCCCGTGAGGGCCAC